CAGGAAGGATTCCCTCGAAAGGTGTATTTTATCGCGAGCGATTCTCGGCGTTGATGGACGCGCGTTATCGCGCTTCCTCCAAGTGTAGCGTTGTTAATTGTTGTCGTAAATAAGGAGAAAATCACGAGGAAACGCACAGCAAGAGGAAGGCTCGCCTGCGTGGTCGTAATTTTCTCTCTTTCTCTTTCTCAAACGGCAGCCTGCTCGACTCAGACCCAATTAACGTGGTTAATAAGAAACGATATGCGCGTAAAATATCGTCTTGGTTGAGACATACATTCGCGCAAACACGTGGCCAGCCTCGTTAACGCATGCAAACGAACGTATTATTGTTATCGTACTCCATTTTTCCCTCCAAAGGGAGACTCGTAACGAGGTCCAGTTTCTCTCGCTCGAAGAATCCCATACAGCACAAAATATTGCGGCAATATTCCAATGTTATTGCTATGTTGCAGCAATATTGCAGCAATATTCCAATATTATTGCAATGTTATTGCAATGTTGCAGCAACATCGCGGCAATATTCCAATGTTACTGCAATGTTGCAGCAATATTGCGGCAATGTTTGCAATGTTACAGCAATATTGCAGCAATTATTTCAATGTTATTAAAATGTTACTGCAATGTTATTGCAATGTTGCAGCAATATCGCGGCAATATTCCAATGTTATTCCAATATTGCAGCAATGTTGCAATGTTACAACAATATTAATAATATTGCTGCAACATTGTGTGCTGTATGGGATACTTTGATTCTGAGTTAACGATTCTCGCGCGAATGGCTTTCGACAGGAGACTTCGAGGCCCGATCGAGAGTATCCCACGGGTTTCGAGGGATCGTTCCTCCTCTCACCCCCTCCCCCTTCCCTACCCTCTGTTGCAGCGGGAGCTCGGTCCTTATAATATAATCCCGGTACGAAATTCCCGCAGAAAATAACGTCTCATTTCACATCGAGCGCCCCCAGCAGCTTTCGCGTAATAACATGTAATTTCTCCGCGCACCCCCCTCGCGCGATCCCTCCCCTTCACGATCACGTAAGACGCCGGAGTGGAAAAGCAAATGACCCGAGAGAATGTAAGCGCAAATTCATTTCGCGAAATTTCATTCCCAACTGCATTACAGAGGAGAATTCGACGCTCAAATCGGGATCCGCGAGAAGATCCTGAGGGGGAGAAATCAATCGTCATTCTTCCAACATTTTTCAACAACGAGATTAATCAGTCAGAGATCGATACTTAAAAAGAGTTATACGTTAAATAAGGGAAGGCAAAGGAAATGGACGCGAGAAGCGGAGGAACTGCTGCGGCGAGAGGAGATTCCGGGGCGGGAGGGGAGGGTGGAAGGGGGACGCCGGCGACGAGGAGGAAGATTGATCGCGGTGAAGCTGCATCTGCCACAGTGAACTAGACTGGGAAAGAACGAGGGGGAGAGAGAGAGAGAGAGAGAGAAGGCAAGAGGACGATGAAAAGGGGGAAAAGAGAGAAAGAGAGACAGAGAGAGAGAGAGAGATGCGGTGATAGAGAAACGATGGGAGAGAGGCCCTTCGGGAGAGGCTCCGCCTTCGGCTGGCGTCTGCATTTGCGCAAGATGGCGTCGCTCGGTCGGTCGGTCGGTGTCTACGTCGCGGTTGCACACACGTTTTGCACACACCGGTGCAACGACGCGTTAGTCGTGCCACTTTGGCCCCGACAACACGCTACCTTCGGCTCCGTACGTACGTCATCGCGCGACACGACGAGGGTACGAGGGACCAGGAGCGCGGACGAAGAGAGAGAAAGAGAGAGAGAGAGAGAGAGAGAGAGAGAGAGACAGAGGCAGAGGGGGCAGGGGAAGGGAAGAGATCTAACTTATAAAAGCAGCGCCTCCCGCGTGGCCCCGCAATTACGTATGCACCTCTCTCAGACCCCGCGGGCTTCGCGGTTGGCTGCGCTTCCTTCCTGTCTGTGCCGCAACCACTGTGTGTATTATGCATCCCGCTCCTCCGTCCGTCTATCTTGTTTATTTTTTTTTTTTTTTCTTCAACATTGCTGTCCCGTTTCTCTTCCTCCTTCCTTCTCTCCCTGTCTCTTTTTCCGCCTCTATCGTTCTATAATTAAATCGTCGGAGAGAAGTATCGCGGCTCGCGAATATCAAAATCTGACCTAGTCCTACTGGTGATCCCAGCGTGCCAAACGACTCGGGGCAACCCGCTTTCTCCTCGCATGTATACGGATGCTTACACGGTACCCCGATGTCCAGAGAGGGATTTACATTTCTTTATGCAAATCTAATTATGCGCGCGCCATTGTTTCCGAATTAAATTGTCGCCACGCTCGTCAGTTGAGTAATTAGGGAAACAACCTTGGGGACAACCGCTCGAGCTGTCAACACACTTTTCCGCCCCGCTCTCGGCTGTCAAAACTCGAAACGAGACCAGAGACTCGCCGACGATCGTCAGAAGGTTGTGTTCCAAGTAAAAAGTGCCCATCTCTCTCTCTCCTTCTCGAGGAAGAATCGAGCGAGCCGCGCTTTTTCCGCGTCGCGTCTCCCCGAGTGGACTTGATTCCGATTAGGGGCGTCGTTTTTTCAGGGCCACGAGCTAACAGAGGCCCGAGTATGATCCGCGCGCGTCGGCACGAATCAGGGATATCGCCTTCCACGGCCTCGAAGATCTGGCCCGGCTGTATCGTGTTTCCTCCTCGGCTCCGCGCGCGCACTTTTTAGCCCCTGCCTCTCTCCCCCCTCGTCCCCCTCGCCTCCTCCAGCTCCCGTTGCTCCCCCCACCCCTCCGTCGGCACCGAGCTCCAAGTCTTGAAGAAGCGCGAAACCTCGACGTCCACCTTCTCTCTCTCTCTTTCTCTGCGTTTCTTCTTCTTTCTTTCTGCTCCTCTTTTCTTCGCGTTCTCTATTCTATCCGTACTACGCTTTTTCATGCTTGGCCAACGGCGAGGAACCGAAGGAGCGCTATCGAGATTACACACATCTAGAGGGTACATGTACCACATCGGCTTAGGACGCTCCTCTCTTTTCCTCTCCCTGGGATGCCGTGAATTATTCGAAAATGTAAAATTCGAGGAGCGATTTGCTCGCGATTTCATTTTATATGTGTTTTACACTCGGCGTCGTTAACGTCTTCTCGCCTGAAGAGCGTTTCCGGAGTCAATAATAGCTAGACGCGTTTATTATTTTTGCATCATTACTGTTGATTCAAGAAATATTTACATAATTAATATGTCCATGTATGTGTATATAAATATATACATATATATATATATATATATATATTTTACACATATACGAACATAAACATATTAATTATGTAAATAATTGCTGTGCCAACATCATCGATGCATAAGTAATTAAATACGATACTATTAATAGATCTGCAAGTGGCATCATTAATAATGCCAAGTGTACATCGAATGATAATATTTTATTACCTTCAACAAATTCTTTTTGGCAGAATATTTAAAATAAAAATAAAAATAAAAATATTAGAGAGAGAAAATAAAAATAGAAATATTATCGAAATATTTAAAGGAAAAATAAAAATAAAAATATTATGGAAATATTTAAAGGAAAAATAAAAATAAAAATATTATGGAAATATGTGAAGGAAAAATTGAGATAAAAATATTATGGAAATATTTAAAGCAAACAAAAATAAAAATATTATCGAAATATTTAAAGCATTTTCGCTTATTATCTTTTATTTTACTCCCAAGAATCCTACTTTGTCAAACTATTATCGCAGGAATAACGAGTATACATTTGCTTTTTCTCATTTATCGATTTGCTGAGATAAGATCTCTCTCGAAACATCCTTTTGCAACTTGCTCTCGCCGAAGCTTACTTTGTCCATTCTCCCCTTTTCCACGCTATTTATTTTCCTTTTTATTCCCGACGGCCATACGTCAAACGTCGTTCGCGTACGCTTATCCCCCGGAACGTGACTTCTTTTTTACGCGCCGACCAATCAAACGTTTCCCGCGCGTGTCCTTTATCCGTCGAGGCTCGACTGGCCATATTCTTTGCTTCTCGCTGTCATTCGCGCAAAAGGGCGGCGGCGGGAGTTGCTCGAAATGGAAAGTCATTTGTCAGGCAAGGGAACGCGTGACAGGAGGCAGCACGTGGCTAACGACACGCACTTGCGTGCTCCAGAACACGCAGAGCGCTTCGAGTGCATTCGGGGTGAATTGGCCAAGAAGGCTCTCTCGCCCCTTCCCTTCCTCTAGAGCCTCTCCCAGTGGTACAATGTTTCGTTGCTATCAACCGCGGTAGAAATTTAATTATCAAGACGGGGCATCTCTCTCCTCCTCTCGAGTCGCGCGCGGGGGGGGGGAGGATGAGCAAAATGGCGATGCATCAGGGGAGACATTCGATGGCGCTGATAGCCTCGGAGACGCCTCGTTAATTAAATATAGAAATTCTAATTAATGAGGAGTGCTCCGTCCACCTCTCCTTCTCGCTCTGGAAAGGTGACTGTTCGACGGTCGTTGAACCGCGTCGTCGAACACGCGAGAGAAAACGCGATGATGGGCGGAACGGGTGTTCTTGTTGCACGGGCAGTTTGAGATTTAGTCAAGTCGTCTCGTCCCTCGCAAAGTAGTCAAGATGTATCCCGACGTCTCCCATTGATTTTTCCCTCCATCGATATCAATATCTGCGACATTTCCAAGAAGGGCAAGAATCCTCCGACAGGCTCCATAATCGAGAGCTTCTTGGAGATCCCGCGCGTCGGAATCACCGAGGCGGACTCGGATCGACAAGCTTATAATAAATTAGCCCCGAGATTATACGTATTATCTTCGTCGTTGGAAAAAAATAAAGAGAGCGCCCGCTTCTTTGGATCCCGACTTATTCAGAGGAAACGTCTGGTAGCGCTCGGTCGTTGAACCGTCGCGAAAGCAGAAGGGCAAACGCGAAAAGAGAGAGAGAGAGGGAGAAACCGCCGAGGGTGGTTCAAGAAAATAAAAAAAGAAAAAAGAAACAAGAGATGAAAGAAGACATGTGTACTTACTGTGGGCGTAGTGGGCCGTGGGGTGATGCGCCGTTGGTCCGGCGTGGGGGTAGTAACCCCTGTAGTCGCCGGGGTTGCCGACCACCCCGGCCACCCCGGCGCCCCCCGAAGGCGGCTCCAGCGACGACCTGGGCGGCTCGTACCATCTAGCGGTGCTCGACTCGCTGCTCATGTCCATAGTGCGATCCAACGCGAGGTCCCGATGCCTCTCGTCGAAGACGGACGCGAGCAGGTGAGAAGGAGGAGGGGGTGGAGAGCGGGATGAGAGAGAGAGAGAGAGAGAGAAAGAGAGAGAAGAGAACGGGAGGCAGGAAGATTAGGAACGCTGCCAGAAGCGCCTCTCTGCCTTTTCCGTCGTCCTCGCGACGCCCAGCGGGATCATAGGTAATCCTGGTCTGATTTGCTGATCACCAAAGGAATCTTCTTGCCGGTCTCCGCCCTGCAAAAAAAGGTCCAACAGGGTTAGTTAGAAGAATCTTTCCCAATCGCTTTGTTTCTTCGATAATAATAATCTGAGGCGACCGGGGAAGTTTGAAGAGAGTCTATCTTTAAGAAATCTCTGCGAATGCAACATTTATTTGAGGAATCTAACGAGGGGTGTTTGATCGAGGGGTGCTTGATCGGTCGATTTAGACTCATCGAGAGACGCGATGTTGTTATGTTATGTTATATGCGGATGGAAAGTTAAATGAGAAAGTTAACTGGTGCGTTTTAGACGAACGCGATAACTCCTCGGCCGTGATTTTATGAATAATTTCGCGATTTACATGGCATTAAAGCGCGTTTTAATCGCGAGAAAAGGAGAAGAGCGCGGATACGTCGATCGAGCTACTCTAATAAATCGACAACGGCGACTTGCACAATCCAAAGGAATCTTCACGTGTGTCAATTAATGATGCAAAAACGCAACAGTTGTCGACTCCATCTCGAGACGTCGGCTTCAGATCGTCGCGCACTCAACAACTTTAATCTATTCGACTCTCTTCGCGCGTTGCTTTAATTAATAATGTGCTAAAAATGCGAGCAATCATTTTCTCGTTGCTCCAAAAAATAGGCTGCATAATATCTCGTTTCGGGATATTTCAAACTCGCGTTAATTAAACTAAAAAATAGAAAAGAAGCTTATTCCAACATCTCATGCAGCTGAAAAGTAATTAGAAAAAATAAACTCTTTTTCTAACGTGCTTCTATCTCGCTTTAATTTATGTTTCCTCGATATTCAGGATATCTCGTTGCTCCAAAAAATAGACTGCATAATATATCGTTTCGAGATATTTTAAACTCGCGTTAATTAAACTAAAAAATAGAAAAGAAACTTATTGCAACATCTCATGCAGCTGAAAAGTAATTAGAAAAAATAAACTCTTTTTCTAACGTGCTTCTATCTCGCTTTAATTTATGTTTCCTCGATATTCAGGATATCTCGTTGCTCCAAAAAATAGACTGCATAATATATCGTTTCGAGATGTTTTTAACTCGCGTTAATTAAACTAAAAAATAGAAAAGAAGCTTATTCCGGCATCTCATGCAGCTGAAAAGTAATCAGAAAAAAAGAATTCTTTTTCTAACGTGCTTCTATCTCGCTTTAATTTACGTTTCCTCGATATTCAGGATATCTCGTTGCTCCAAAAAATAGACTGCATAATATATCGTTTCGAGATGTTTTTAACTCGCGTTAATTAAACTAAAAAATAGAAAAGAAATTTATTGCAATATCTCAGCTGAAAAATAATCAGAAAAAAACAAACTCTTTTCTAACGTGTTTCCATCTCGCTTTATTTACGTTTCCTCGATATTCAGGATATCTGACGTGAAACTGAGATCCTCTTAAATTCAATTTACACCAGGAATATAATCAAGCGTATTGTATCATTCTGATTCGACGAGCAAGAGCATCGAGATACATCTCTGATATCAAACCCGACGCGTCAAATCTTTAGATCCATTTCCATGAACGGCTTTTCCGATCAAAGCGCTCCGGCGCTTTCGGGAAAAGAACCGAGATTCGATAAAAATCGGAGGAGAGAGCACACAAAAATGCAGCAGACTTACCGCAATGGAAGACTTAACGCGCGACGAATCGAAATCCGATAATCAACGAGATCTACGGTCCTAATTAGGTCCTGATCAGCGCTTCAATGCGAACATACTGAGTATCGCTCGATCGACGATCAAGTGCTCGAAATGATTTATCAATCGGCTTGTGTGGGCGATCAAGGTCATCGATGACGTAACCGGGGACAGGTCGGTCCAATCCCCGGATGGAGGGGGCGCGAGAGGAAAGAGGGACGACGCCAAGAAAGAGAGAAACGAGTCTTATCTCGAGGGGCACCGAATTTTCGGAAATGTCGAATACGTCGCACTAGCTGTCTCCTCCTCTTCCCGGGGTAGGGGGAGGGGGAAGAAATACAGTTTATCGATAACTTCGCGATTATCGCGAGAATTAAAGCTCGCTGGATGGAAAATTATTTTTCTCGAAGAACCGGTTTCCGGGGCCGGTTAACGAGTCGTCGCATTTTCAATGCAAGTGTCGCAAAAATAATATATCGATAAATCTTGCAAATAGCGCAAAAATCCCAACACGCCTTTAACACCGGGGGGGAGGAGGGGGCGGAGGAGGGGGGATTTTTCACGCGCAGGTATTACGTGCACTTTTTCCTCTATTCTTCCCTCTTTCTCTTCCTCGTTTCGCGCTAACGCAAAAAAAATTAGTCGAGCCAGAGCAAATAAAGCACTCGAAAACAATGCGCGATAAGATACACACGAAAAAGCGTATGTATCGATAAGATTGATACCGCCACGGAATGTGACACGCATATCCGATTAATTTTGATTGCCCAGCCATCGAGATTTTCCTGTCGTTATTAATAATGTATTATACGATACAACTTCTTACGCAAATATATTACATTTACTTTATCTCAGAGAGAGAGAGAGAAAGAGAGAGAGAAGATATCTGTCACGATTAATTATAACGTGTAAATTTAATATCGACAATCTCTCCTACGACGTGAATTCGTGGCTTGGAGCATTCGAATATTCGGGCATTTCTTACAAAGTGTGCAATTTAATCGGCAGAATCAATATTAATAATTAAGCCCGTTAAATGGTTCATTAATTGAGCCCATCGAAGGATATCGACGTAGCAGATTGTCGCCCAACTTGGGCGGTTATCGTCGAAAACATCGAAATCGATCGATCATAGATATAACTAAATTTGGACAGATCAATCAAACCGTATCGCTCGACACGATCGCAAGACGAGCTCGCGATTACTTTTCACGGGGGAGATATCTCACGATCGGAATAATATTTTTTTTTTCGGCGATATAAATCACGCGAGCCGCACATACATTCACTTTATCGCGGTCGTTCCGATCATTAATACACTCGAAATATTTACTACCGCGAAGATATATATTCCCGCTGTTTTTTTTTTTATATTCTCTACTCGTTTTTTTCGAAAAAAAAAAAAAAAAAATAAAATAAAATAAAATAAATCGGAAAAAGAGGAAAATATCTCGCGATGACTTCGTTTTCCGGCCATTTGTCGCCTTTCTTTTATTTTCCGCGACAAATAAAAATTTCCCAATAAAAGAGACACGCACGCCTGGTTTCCCCTCCCCTCCTCGAGATAATCGAAATCAGACTTTTGACCGATATGCACTTTCGACGGATCACTCGGACAGATCGTGCAAGCCCGATAATCTCGTCGATCTGATAACGATCGCGATAACGATTAACCCTGGGCTAGATAAGCGGCCAATCGAATTAAAAAATAAATCGTAGACTTTACCCGAGAACGAAATATTACGATGTTCGACGTCCACGAGAGAGAGAGAGAGAGAGAAGGACGACCTAAATAGAGTAAAAACTCTGGGAATTTTCTATGCGCAAACCGCGCGATAAGTGTGCTCCCTAGATCCACTTATCGTCCACATATCGTATATTATGTGCGACCATGACGAGAACAGGTTCGAGAAAATTGGAACGCGTCCGTTGAACCGCCAAAGAAATAACGACCGAGCATGTATTATTCATATACACATGTGTATATGTGCTTCATATTTGTTTAGCGCGATAAAGATGATCTCACCGTACTTTGACATAACGAGTTTTCGCTGGACTTTCCTCGTGATATCGCAATCTACGCGATGATAATTATAAATATCGCGCGAGGGGCAAAAATAATCGCGCGTTTTCCTCTTCCGAGTCAACAGCTGTGATTTGACGTTTGCGTCGACGTTTCTTTTTTCGGAGCACGGATTCAAGTTATCGAAACTACACTGAGAAAAATCGTTTGATTGTATCAACAAGGCGTGTATGATTGAAGGCATTTCGGTTATCAAACAAGAATTTCTAGTTATCGTGATACGACTCGATTTTTTATAACTAGAACGTTTGATAGATTTTACTATAAGGATTTGGTTAGTATTTTCTGGTTGGAGCTATCAAATTTCTTGTTACATTAATTTCCTTGCTTGCTTCTTAACTTAACTCGTATTCAATATTTGCCATGAAATGTATATAAAGAAGTAGTATTAACATTAAATCCAAAGTATATTTTTTTTCTCTTACGAGCAGTAGTGCCAGAAAGAGGACGCTAGCTCTCTGATTGTGTGTGTTTGAGCTGCATCCTCTTCTCGCATCACTGTTTATCAGTTTAATTTCCAACAAACTGAATTTAAAATAATTTATTCAATAATCTGGATTGAATTTATCCAATAATCTTGTTGGAATTTAGAATATTAAACAGACTTTTGAGATTAGATGGAACAAATTTTAGACGACTTGGTGCTGCGAGTTTAGTATTATTAACCAGAAAATTTGGTAAATTTAACAGGAAGAAATTAATCAGATTCATCTGGTAATTCCTAGAAGAATTCTGGTCCATTTTCCAACGGATACATACTAGTTGAATTTACCAGAATTCTAATTAATGCAACCAGATTTTTTTCTCAGTGTACGACCTCGAGCCAATTGTACTAGGGCTGCCGCGTCGAATCTTATCTCTGGATCCCGCGTTACATCACTGTGTCCACTCTTCTCGACGAAACTCCATCGGCGCGCGTTTCCCGATCACGTATCGTGATCGGCTAATCTTATCGAAATTCGTTAATCTCCTCCAAAGCGCCCGGCGACGTCGAACCTACACAAGGGGAAATTAACGGATGACAATAATTGGAATTTTATTTCAGCCCACATATCGTTCCAACAGGAGGATAGTGTCTATCTTCAAATCTTGATCGCGGCGCGTTCCAATGTCCTAGGATTGGAACAACTAGTTGAACCAGATCGGATCTGGCCTTGCGACTTGAAAGTACAAGGGCGATTCCACATTTGAATACGTCGAGAACATTTTATTGGCTTTCACGTCATTTCAGTCTCGCAAAGAGTTCAATTGAATAAAAATGATCCTTGTCCTCGGATTGAAATCATTCGTCAAGAATGCATCCTATCTCGAGACAATCAGAAACATAAACAGTCAGTTTTCGATAAACATTAATTCGATAACAATTGGAAAAACTTTCCAAAAACATGACGATTCAACAGCCACGTGTCCTCGACACTTGACTCGCGCTGACGTTTCCAAGGGTCCGGTCGGATTCACCGCAAAACACGGTCTCTAATAGGGATAAACGTAGCGATAGAAACCCAAAACGAGCGAACGAAGGGGTGAAGAGGGGGGGTCATCGTGGTACGAACTGTCACGAGAAACGTCATCGCCTCGACGGGAGTTCGAAAAGAGCGAATGTCGGGACCGACGGCTCGAGAGTGAAACAACCGAGAGGCTCGATTAGAACGATCCTTTAAAATTGAAGAAAAATAGAAGATGAGAAAAGGAACAATGTTTTTCGAAAATCGGGACGCTCGAGATTAAAGTTGGATTTTTAAAATTTTTCTTCTGCTTTCGATTCAATATCTCCTTTAATACTTTAAGATCAGATTGCATTAACATTATCTTGAATGTATAATATTATATAAATATGTCTTTTTATCTTTATTCTTCTTTGTTAATAAATAAAAATATAAAGTAATTCAATATAATTAATTGAAATTAATTGAAATAAATATTTAAAGCTAAGATAATTAAACATTGATGCAATTAGTCGAAGCACCCTTTTTCACTAAATCGTTTAATCTACAATTTTATCGAGAATTCCTGACAATAAATGAAAAAACATTTGTTTACTGGCCACTTAAGGAGCTCGAATCCTACGCGAATTAAACTTCTCGAGAGAGAGAGAGAGAGAAATCCTCTAAAATTTATAAACAGGACAAGAATGAAAATGGAAAGAAAATTTCAACTCGAGAGGATCGGAAGGAATTCACATCATATCACGTCTCTTTGCCCTCGGTGACAGCAAGGACGAAATATTGACACGCGTATAGATGAATATATTAGACAGCACGAACGTAAAACGGTTATCGCCAGCTGAGGATTGATATTTTATTATCCTCGAATCGGTGGAACGCGTTACACCTGCCGAGCCTTCTGCGTGTCTGCTTTTTTCTCGTATTTTTTTCCAACATTTCTCGAGAAACTTGATATAACATTGACTCTGCCCGAGGCGAGTAATTCGAGATGTACATGTTGTTACGTTAAAATGCGGTTGCAATTGCAAACAACGGGCGCTAAAATATTTTACGAACAACAGGAATTGTTTTTTATTAGAAATTGAATCTAGCTGTCAGAAAAAAACTAGACAATCTTTATGTTCCGCCGTCGTGTTTATACGCGATTAATTTATAGATTTTTTACAAAAAGACTTCGAAAGCCTTTACAAAAAATTCTTACAGGCAAATAAAAAGGCTTTGTGTTGATGAACCGAATGTCAAGGCAAATTTCAATCATAAATAATGTCGAAAATGAATCAAGCTTCTCGTCATGTCATAAATATATATATCGGATAAAAAGAGATGCACATACTCGAATAATAAAGTACACATGGATATTACAATAAACGGTGTAATCATCCAGCAAACACCAATTAATAATTATATAATTGTTAGTTATAATTTCCCACTCAACAATATAATTAATATTTAATATATAACAGTTATATAACATGTAACATTTATATTGTCGAGTAAATTGTAACTGGTGGGCAAAATTTCAGGAATGGATTCCTCATGCTTAGAGGAGAAGAAAAAGTTAATTAACATAGGTCCGAAAATGATTAGTTTTGAAGTTATTAAGATTTTTGTAATTCAAAATTTTAATAACTCAAAAATCACTAATCATTTCAACAAATTGAAATCAGAAGTAACGAAAGGAAACTCCTATGTGTGACGTAGCAATTTTAGGGACGAGGATAAAATTCCGGACTCAAGATTTATTAGGTTATCTCGACTTACTCTTGGCTTCGAAATTTGTCCCTTCCTCAAAATCGAACTTTAAAGTTAACTTTGGAGCCTCGAGTCTTCAAAATTGTCGAAGCAAGTGATCGCGACAGGAGGCAACTTCGATCGAAGACGACGCGAGAGTGCGAATTTTCGAAATTAAGAATCGAGGAGGAGGAAGGGAAAGCTGGGTCACGGGGCGAATTTAACAATACTTCTCGAGCGTTAAATGTCGCGTTGCCTTAGTCCTGCATGCCTATTTTAGCCCTCGCTCTTGACAAGGTGAAAAAGGATCTTCAGCCTCAATTCTCGCATTATTTTAGGCCGTTGACCAGGTTTTACCTGGCCCGTCCAAATTCCTCAACATACTATCCGGTTACATATTTTTCGCCAAACGCACTCTGGATTCGGCGCCAATTCGTCGGCTCGATCGTCTCAACGTGAGACAAAAAGGGGACTAAAGCGTCCGTGAAATATTAAGGTCGAAAGGGACGAACGACAAAGTAGCGAAAGAACTGGGCGCGACCCGATCAGCTCCAATATCGAACGTACCTTCGGCAGACTGGAAAATATCGATCACGTGTTTCAACCGATATTACGCGATTCGTGGACTCTTATTTTGGCTAGGACAAGATGTGACTTGTTGTTGTCATCGAAGAACGAATAAACACGAGGATGAATAACGAGAATGCCATGATTAGTAATCATTACTACTAAATATCGATGGAAACAGGATATGTTAATTACGATCTTGATTTTGATAGTGAAAACCCATTTAAGGAATTTGATAAGATTTTCTTTTCGTGATACTTCGCTCAATTAACGAGCAAGTTTTCAAGATAAGAATGCTCTTTGACACTCGCAGAGATCTCCAGACGCGAGATAAATCCGATTTCGGAGTCGAAAGCTACGGGAAAGGGTAGGACGCGGGTACCGGTTCCCGCGCCCTCTGCCGCACAATTATAAAGAGACCGATGAAACGAACGTCAATTCTGTCAGCTCTTACCTTATCTTACCGGCGGCAATCCCGACGGGCGAGATAATGTGGCGACTAGTTTGCGGGCTATGCCGGATGCGACGGAGGAGGGTACATATACATATACGTGTACATATATATATGTATATTATCACTAAGTTAGCACCAACACACTGCACCGTACATCACACACACAGCACATCGTAGCGTTCGTGGAGCTTTGGCGGGCGATTTGACTCGCGACAGTCGGTTTCCTCCTCTCCTCCCCTCTCGCGCTTCCGACGAACGAGAACGTCTGCTCACTTTGCGAAGTGCAACTTTGCGCGCGAACTCGTTGCATCCGTCGCTCGGGTCCCCATCAAGACAGATCCAGTCCGTTCTCACGTCAGAGTCTCCACCGAGCCGCACCCGACAACAGGAGACGCGGCGTCTTCTCGCTTTCCCCGTCCCCTCTGTCGCTCCCTTACGCTCCGGCTCTTCTTTTTTTTTCGAAAAACTCACGCACGCACGCGCGCGAACCCGAGTCAATGCGACTGTCGTGGCACCCGGCGCGAAACTAAGCCCATGAAAACACCGCGCCGCACGAGCCCCCACGTTCCCGCGCGCTCGGCCGTTTCCGCCGCCGCTCGGCCGCGCCCGCCGCCGCTCGGCCGGTAATGGCGACGCCCCCTCGCGGCGGCCCAGCCTACCAGCGGGCGGAACTGTCTCCTCTCCCTACCACCGTCGCCAGCGGCGCGCGAGGAGCGCGCTCGCTTCCCCCGCACCCCCTGCCGCCCCGACCCATGGCTGGTGCGTGTACCGTTGCCCGCGGCCGAATCGTTCTTCCGTCGACGATGTTATTGCTGGTCGCTGTCAACGCCAATGACGAGAAAAAGCGAGGGACCTTCTCGCGAAATTGCCGGAGCAGCGTAATAGCGGTATATACGTGCAACGAATCTATTTAGACCCGCGCGATCTCCCGAGAAGCATCCTGAAGTATGTCCCGAGAGGCATCCTGAAGTATGTCCCGAGAAGCATCCTGAAGTACATCCCGAGGTACGAGGATGACGGACGATTGATGAAGTTGGATCGAAATTTTTCTACAATGCAACGTGAAACGGGTTTCTATTGGCCGCTTGAATATTCATGAGGGAGGCGGCACCCGTTTAGGTTAGGCGTAATTCCTCCCGAGCATCGGTCATTTATTCTCGTCCGTACCGGTTTACCGCGAGACGTATCGGTCTGCGGATAACGCGGGGATGCTTTTCGAGTGCCCGAGGAAGAACATGCGAGTACACAAATCTTACGTACTATGCTACTAGTTATCGATTTATAAATGGTACAGCAGGCGCCAATAATGCCTTAACATATGAAATTGGTCGCATTCGAGACTAATAGTAACTTAATAATATCTAGTCATTATTAAGGATGCTTTGTACCTATTTTCCAAATATTGAGAATTTAATGAAAATTGTACAGAATGCCCTTACATGTGTTTAGAATCTTCAGTACAATTTTTAAATCGATTCACAATTTATAAGGATTTTAATTTGCATCGAATTAACGTGTGTTCTTATGGGAAACGTATAATCACGTCGATTCAAATGACAAAAACACATGGAAATAATATTCAGAATTTGTTGAAAATTTGCAAAAGTTTAGATACAGAGGAAATATTTGTAATATATTAAATAATATTATACAAGTACTAACTGGTTAAAAAGATATTAAATATAATTTAATGAAGTTAGCCATGTATCTGTCACAAGACGAAATTTTCTGTCACAAGTTAATCATTTCGATTAACAAAATTCGGAATATTTCAGTAAAAACGTAATCAATATTAAAAAATACATATCTGTACTGTAGCTAAAATCAAATTGTAATATTCCACACAATTTCTTACTCAAAATACACCAAAAGTGGATATTCGTCAATATTGATTTTCAGCTACTTTTTGCTGGGATTGTACATACAAAACATCCTTAATCCCGAATGCGACCAATTTCATATGTTAAGGCATTATTGATGCCTACTGTACGTTTAATTGAGCGAATTTATGAAGGGAGCACACTGGAATCGAATCTCTCTCTTTTTCAGAAGCAGAAAACCAGCGATGTAGCCTAGGGATCTTAGCAATGATATCGAAACGGGACGCGGAAAATTCAATGTTCCCAGGCGGATTTAATGCAGTCCTCACCGATTGGCAGATACCGCGGCTCAACGGTGCCAAATCGTTCCATCAGGACACACGCACGATACATTTCTATAGCCTACTTTGAATATATTGCAGCGCGAGCGTTGCTATTTATGCCGGCAATTTATCAAAGCTCCGACCACTCGAAAATCTAACGTATCATCGTAATCCAACGACGAATGAAATTGTCGCAAATTATTTTTAATAATATCTATCTCTCTCTCTTCCTTGCATGCAAAACATTTTATTATCGTCTCTCGAGGCGAGGTGAAATTTTATACAAAATTTTATGACTTCATGTAGATATTTTTAGATTTAGTTTCTTTTTTTTTTCAACTAAAATTTAAACACCTTTTAAAATTAAAATTAGAATTATATTTCTGACAAGTAAAAATGAATGTCAAATTACTAAATTGATTCTCAAAAGAGAGAGAGAGAGAGAGAAATGGAACGCTTTCTTCATGCTCTATATTTTTCGCTGTTAAATCAGAATAATACTCGTCCAAAGAAATGACCCACGCTCCCGCGAGGGATCAAATTACGCGCTACATATTGCGAGTATGGTTCGTTTACGCACTTCTCGGCGGAAAAGGAGATCGCGGGTTATCTAGATCGCAGCGAGCACGAGCCCGGGCACGAGGTGTTGAATAATTCCGTCGGATCGGTGGGTTCCCGTCGAAAAAGAGACGCGCCTATCACGCGCGATCGGCCGATCCGAATTTAGATCGGATCGGGGGAAACCGGGAGCCCGAAGCTCGCGCGCGCGCGCGCGCGCGAGCCACGTGTCCGCGCGCGAAGATCACCGGCTAGATACGTGCACACGCACACAATATATATATATATATATATATATATATATATATATATATACATGTACATGTGGGTGGGCCGCTGATCTTGATGCCGGTGCGCGCGCGCGCGCGATACATCTAGATGAGATACCGCGATTAAGATACAACGCGCGCGCACACGCCCTCCGAAATTCGAAGCCCCCTGAAATCCGAGCGAGATGCGCGACGATGACGATAATCTACCGTGTTACAGGTTGCCCCAGGTCGTGCGATCCGATAGCACCGCGCGAGACTCTCCGGCTCGCGCTCTTCTGGCTTCCACTACCGCTAATTGCGACCGGATGACGCCAATCTTGTCGTTTACATCGCATCTACTGGCTACGTTGTTTGTATATACGGCTCTCCAGGTTCCACCGAGATGATACGTAGATACGCGATGATTATAACAACACGCCGTTTGAGGATTCTCAGTCTTTCCCGATCGCTCCTGTCGAAGAGCCCAGATTGGATGAGATAAAATCTACTCGCGCCAGGTAACTGAATAAATATCTATTTCTTGATTGTTTCGTTGATTCAATAAAACTCATGAAAAATTCATTCATTTCCTAGAACAAAATTCAAGCAAGATGTAGGGTATATAATTGAAAGGTACTTGCGCCAAAATTATGCAAGATTGACAGAAATGTAGTACGAGATAAATTTAGTTAAGATTCAGAATGAGCGTATATATCTTCTCCTCCGAATCGGTTTTCTCGATGACGACTCGAGTTGTAACGGTTCCAGGAAATGCAATGCAATCGACAAAGCGCAACTTTTCGAAACGACCATGAGGCAAGAGCCCACGCAGATCTCGGCGATTGTGTTGCGCCAACCAGTGGCTAATCGATCCAGAGGTGGGAGGATCTGTTGCATAATCGAAAAACCTTCAATCATTCGTCTCAGGAAGAAGCGTCTTCGATTAAGCGGAAGCGAAATATATCGCCATCAACATTTCGCGATGGCAGATAAAAGCGCGCGCGCGCGCGCCCGAATCGTGTACGAAACTCTTGCAATTTTTCGCGAGGATTCCTCTGCTACTCGTGCGCTCGGGCGCATCACACACACATGTATATACGTGTGCGATGATACAGCAGCAGCGGTGGCGGCGAGGGGACGAGGGGACAACGTCGTCGACGGTGGGGTAGAGAAAGAGAAAGAGAGAGAGAGAAGTGTGGGGTGGCAGCGTTGCCGGGTTGCCGGGTGGCTGGAGTACCCGGTGGTGTGTACAACCGAACAATCTGTAGAAGCTTGTCCAGGACGAGAGAAGTCCGTAGATCAGCCAATCAGATAGGCATACCCCCTCTCGTCCATTGTCACAAAATGGCGGCCCTAAATCAGCCTGACTCCGCCTATTGCGCTCTCCCACCTGAGCGCCTCTAGCGGCGCGTCATGAAAAACTCCGCCTATCGATTCATTTTTACCGCTCTTGTTTCTCCCTCTCTCTTTCTCTCTCGTCGCGCTCCTTCTACAGCTCCGTGCGTTCCTTTTTCTACCTCCTTCCGCCGCCGCCGCCGTCGTCTGCCCTCTCGCTCTTCCCCGCTCGCTTTCTTCCTTGCCTCCTCTCTTTTAACAACCGGTCTCTCTGTTTCCATCGCGCGCCATACGGAGCTACCGTGTCCATTCGCGTGTCTCCTCGATCTCTCCGACTCATCTTCTCTCTCTCTCTCTTCTTCTCCCATCCCGCAGACTGTCGACTTGCGTTCCATCCTCGACAATGTTTCAAAGAAACGGTAAATTTGACGATTGTAAAGCGTTCAAGAGAGGGAGAATTGTTCATTTGGACAGTCTTGGATGACAGTCTTTTCCAAATATCTACTGCAACTTACGAGAAACTCGAAAAGATTCAAAGGGGATGATACGCGAGGAGTCTTATAAATCCGTGATATCGCGCTCTCCGGGGGACATTTAGCATTAGATAAAACGGACGTTGAGTGTCAAATGTTGCTTCCATGGCAGAAATTAAAGAGATGAACGATGAATCGTATCGCGCGACACGCTTCGACATAGATACCATCCAACAATAATTAAAATCTATACATATGAAATTTTTTTATGCCATATGTTATTACTAATTTTATTAATATTAATTTAAGGAATGGCGTGCATGTGAAAGTCTGCGTCTTCCTGGAAGGAAAATGAATGAAAGACACTCCTATAAATCCTCGAGTAATGACTGTTTACGAGCACGTTTGAAAATGCAATTAGCGATAATGGGGTTAAAATGTCTCTCCGATTCGAAAAGTCATCATTTGACCTCACATTTATTCCACGTTTCTCTTCAAAGCACAATATAAGTGGCATAATCGCTTCCTAGAATACATTCCGTTGAAAATAGAAACCATGACTAATGTCATAAATATCGAGTTTATTATTAGCTTGTGTCAGCTGTTTCACTATCGATGCGCTCTACTAGAGAATTAATTTAGGATTACAATAAGTACGAGTAATAATACTGATGGAGCGGAATGAATAAAATAGGACGATAAGATGCGATTCCCGATGAATCAGAAATACCTCGATAAGCTACGAGATTCCTCCT